ACAGGCACACAGGAGTCTCTTTTACTACAGGTGCACAGCTGTAGATCGTACTCTGCTAGAACCTTGAGCAACAGGCATGGATACATGCAAGTGATACGTGAAACAGACAGGCACCTGGATGTGTAACATTCAGTGCTTCACCCCCCCCCCGACGCCACCCTGAACCCTCATCCCCTCAACCCTTAAACCCTCAACCTTAGACTTAGACATCCTGGTACCCTGGCCAGCCTCCCCAAGTTTCTCTACCCTCCCGCTCTGTGCCCCCGCCCCCCAGATTCCTAGACACCCTAAAAACCCCAAACCCGAAACCCTACACCATCGCCACCGCCAGGCCCGTTTGAGAATCCTCGCCAAGCCTTATGCTTCCTGCATGCAATGATTGATTGGAATTGGCCCTTGTTTCCGTCGACCCGTAGTCCTGACAAGAAAACACACATTTCTTCCAACCAACAGCCGGCAACAACACGCAACAACAGCATACAAGAATCAAAGCAACGGGATGCCTGCGAGTGCTGTTGCAGTCGCCACCGTCTCCGTGGGACAGGATTTATGCCGCACTTGGAATCCGCTTCTCGGGCCACAGTCAACAGCATGCGGTGGCGAGAGCCGGGAGTGAGGATACTGCAGTCGCTGTAGTTCTACTAAAGGCTCTAAAGGTAGCAGCCGTGCTTTCCTCTGTTTCGCGGAGGTGCAACTACAAGGACCCAACGCACTGCGAAAAGGTCTTCATCACGGGAACCCTACCTGCAGCTTACGAGCACCTCAGCATCAGCCCCGAAAGTTCTGAGCTCCTTGACTTTCCCCCAGGCATGCAGCAGATTTCTGCTCAGGAAGCTCTCGGCGTCTGTTCGCTGGAGCCGTCCTCGAACCTGGAGCAAAAGGGATCACCGAAGGCTTTGTCGTCCGACATGCTGAGCGGAAGGCCGCTGAAGATCCAGCATCGCCAGGGACGCCGGGTAGGTGATCTGAGCAGTAGCACACAGTGCACACTGCCTTGAAGCCAACTCCGGTGACCGTCGGCACGTTTCGGCAGTGCAGATCCGCATGAAGGGACCCGGCGTAGCGCACATATTGCGGCCGTCTCCAGTAGCACCGTCGTACGAGTAGGACTCTCTAAACGCAAGCGCTTCTCCTCTCTGCTCGACTCCTACAATCCCCTGCAGAACGAACACGCACGAACTGCGTGGGCCCGGACAAGTAGTCGAGGAAGTGGGCGAAGCCGGTATCGCGAAGAAAGCCCTGAGAGGCCAGCCACATCCTGGCCAGGGCTGGGCCACATCGGCCGCCATGTCGTGGCAATGTGGGCCGTTGGGGTCGGAAGCTTCCGAGATCTTCGGAAGGTCAGTCGGGAATAAAGGTTCGGTGCCCCTCCTCAACGGTCAAGATGATCACGAAAATCAAGCACACACAAACCGTTGCGGTCAGACATGTCGGGCAGGCACGTAACTGGCCAAGCATTGGACAAACTCCAACTCTTCTGCGAAACGGCGCGACCTGGCACAATGACAGTTGGTGTTTGCCGAACGGTCCCAGGACAGGTGAGCCTGAACGGACAGGCATCCCTGATGGCAGGCAACACGAACCGTCGCTCAACCCTGCCTATCCCGGCCTTCACAGGCAGCGACAGCTGCTCGGCATTTAAGAATCACTGTGATCCGATCTTTCCCCCCGATAAAAGCCGGCCTGTACTGGGCAAGATCCTGCAGCTTCGGGCGAACGGAAGCTGCAGAGGGCACCACCGTGGATGCTTCCTCTTCCGGCCTGCAGGGACAATAATTAGCAGTCTTATTACCCTTCTGGTCCCCAAATAAGTACAGTATAATGTGGGAATCTGCAGGAGCACGCCAGAATGGCCCGACCTTGGGTCGTCCCTTTCCAAATCATCCTCTGCGCCAATGAGCCTCGCAGGACAGGCAGCGTTCATGGAAGCCGACATGAGGACAGTGATCCCTCCAGGAGCGGCTCCTTCCAGGGACTTCCCAGACGGCTTGCCTCGGAAAAGGAGAAGGGACCATGCAAGGGCAGGGCTCATCCAGTGACCAGGCGGCTCGGATTTCTTTCGCAGCTCTGCCTCGCTGGCAACTCGCTGCAGTTCTTCCATCAACTGCGAGTCCTGGCCCGGGCCCACCTGGGAGGACTCCTGCCTACTCTTGCAAATCCTCCACAGCCGAGGCAAAATCACCGTCCTTCCACCTCACCTGTCCCAACAGATTGCTTCGACCCCACAAGTGCAGATTCCCCATAGGGGCCTCCTCAGGAACACTGCGGGCCATCGTGCAGCCCTTCGCCAAGCGGATCAAGCGTGCAAAAGAGCTCTTGACACCAACATGAGGAGGTCCTCCCTCGGAGCGTTCTTTCAACACGACGAAACAATCTCCAACATGCACAGTGTCCACAAGTGCACGTGGCCTCCGAAATGTCGGCACTTCGCACCTCCTCGACGTCGTGACTTGTTGCGCACGAAGCCGTCGCCAACGTCCTAAACGAGGGATAGGGCCCAGTTCGGGCATAGAGCACGGGCAGAGCTTATCTTGCAAGCATCGCAAGGGTGCGTCTTATATTGATATGGTTCCAGGATGCTGTTTATTCGCCGGCTTTCTGACAAACCTGCTGTGCACACGGGCGCTGAAGGAGATGGACAAAGAGCCGGATGACCCCTCCTGTGACATGGTGGCCAAGAAGGATGATGAAAGCAACTGTCCCGGATCTATGAGTGCTGCCTGCACGAGAACGACGAGGTGAGATACCACAAGACGACCATGATGGCGCTGGCATAGGTTTCCAAACAAGATCAGTGGCTTGACATCTTCTTACCGACAAAGCCGGCCCACAACACTCGCCGATCTGCGAAAGCGGGCTCTCCATGCAAGATGTCGTGGGCAAGATACAGTCAATTCACATGATTTCCAACATGACACTTGCGACAGGTCAAACGAACATTTACAGCCTAGCATGTTGCTCGTGACAAACATCCTAGTCGGTCGGCTTGCCGCGGCCTTGTGCATGTTTCCGCACTGTCGGCTCGCCCTCCTGCCACGACTGAAACCCTCGTCGCGTGCCCAGGCTCGAACTTGCAGACTCTCTGAGCTCAGATGTGCCGCGGTCCTTCCCTGACTCCGAGAGCTCTCGCAAGGCACCCGAAAGGCGCACCACGAAGTCCTGGCAGGCAGCTGAGCGGCTTTCAACCCGGTGACCGGGCCGATTGGAGCGACATGCCAAACTTTTCTTGGCAATGCCACAGCACATCCAGCGATTGGAGCCGGCTGCTCGCGAGCTTCGCTATGGCTACGCAACTATGTACAGCATTGTGCTGCCGTCTTCGGCTTCAGCTTAAGGACACAGGCAAGCGAGCAATAGCTCGAACGAACACTCGGTAGAACTCGTCACGGTCTCTAATCCTTGAAAGCGCCCGCGTCAAATCATGTGACTATGTAACTGTTTTGCTCTGTGTACGTCAGCCACAAGCAACTTCACGCAAATCCATGTTTTGCCAAGTCTCCTGCGAAGTACTGTGCAGTTTCTTTCCTTGCCCCACTGACCCTTCCAGTCTGCAATGGACATCCCGCGAGTAATTTCGCCTCGCGTTTCCACTTCGACCCGAACGTTTCGACTTTCGAAGAGGTCGGGTCGAAGCAGGTACGTCACAGGAGCTTCTGAGCTCCAAGACGCACAGCTCGTGATCCAACACTTTGCGGATAACCCGAACTTCAAAACTTCCAAGAGCAATCGTGGATGGCGCTGTAAACCCAAAACCAAAGTCCGGCTCGGCACATGATGGGAACTGCGTCTTGTGCTGGTGCAAGGGTCTCGCCCCAGTCCTGAGATGGGTCATCCTGCTTTTCTCGTTTTGCCCACAATCAAACAAACACTGCCAAAACTAAACCACCACCACCACCACCACGACTGCGATCATCACACAGTCATCGTCGTCTGCATCAGCAGCACTCGCAGCAGTCAGCAGGAACGCTTGTGCTCGTCATGGTCATCAGTCATCCTTTCCATTATCGGATTATCGTCACCATTACGCAGTCATGGTTGTATCCACCATCGCCACCCTAGCAGCCACAAGCACTGCAACAAAATAGCTACCACGGCCATAGTTGCAGGACGAACTTAGCAGCCCGAACCGTGGCACAATCAGAACTTCGAGCCGCTCTGGCCAGAGTAGTGAGGCCGGCCAACTAGACCATCATGCCTACCATGCCGATAAGGATGAGACTCACGCGTATCACTAACCATCATCACTGCAATGATTGCAAAACGGACCTGAAGAGCAAGAACAGGAAACAAATGGAAAACACCACCAACGGGGCATACAAGCCGGAAGTATACGCGACAACAGCGACGGCAACAACGTGAAGAACAATGGTATGCTGGTTGCTGGCAGGGCAGCGTGATAGACGTTGATGAAGTTCTCGCACAGCTCCCAAACAAACTGGGACAAAGCAGATCCAGATTCCAAACATGCCTTCCGCAGAACCAGCATGTCTGTCTGGTGCGTGATGCAAACTTTTTGAAAAAAACAACTACTCCCAAACCTGGAAAGGGATACAGCATTCTCTGCCCCTGCTGCCCCGGCCTGCTAACACCAGTCTCTTAAAGCCGGCGGTCAGCACTGCCTTTCGAGGAGCTCCAAGAATTCGAATGGATGGCATTTTAGGAACTGGAATTACGACTGCAGGACACCTCTGCGTGCCTGGGCAGCTTCTGGACCGTCAAAGAAGTTGGCTTCGGCAGACGGCGTCCGGTTGCCACGGCGCTCGCCAAAAGCACCGCCCATGATCACAACCTCACCTACCAAGTGAAAGAGAAGATGGTGCAGGCAGCAAAGACTTCATTGCCGAGTAGCAGAGAAGTTGTGGCAGGTCTGGATGCGAGTCCAGGGCTGCAGCCAGGTTGTCAAGAGGACCGATGCAGACCAACGTAATCTCCCGTGGGTTGCCAACCGAAAACCGTGCACGGCAGTGGCACCATCCTACCCGGCCCGTACCCAAATTCCCGAATGAATCTGAAACACATCCTCAATTAGCCTACCACGAAGGAAGTCAGATTCATGAAGCGAGTGACTAACTGACTGACAAACTGTCCGAGCGTGCGAGGTAGCGGACAAGTGAGACGAGCAAGTGAGCAAAGAGCACGGGTTGCATGTGGCCTCATAGGAGACATCCTACAACTTTCTCGTCCGTGCTCGTCCGTGCATTTAGTTTGGGAATTGACCGGCTGATGACTTGGCCCAGCCCTCCTTGCATCAAGGACTGCCCTTCACTGTGAGTCAATTCAAGCTGCCTTTGCAAGTTTCGTAGATGAACTCCGGAGCAGCGAGCTCGTGAAATCCTGTTCGATCTGAAGCATCTTTGCCATATTTGGCACCTGACTGGCACAATGCCTGGCATCTCATGGGTCGCGGTCTCAGTCAGCGCATGATGCCGCCAAAGAGCTGACATTGCCCATGTGGTCTTCTCCATGCACCAGGGCTTTCTTCATACCTTCACGACTGACCATGGCACCTTGAAGAGGGTGTCGAGAAACTCGCCTACACCTACGACTATCAAATCCAATCTGTACTCCAACATTCACAGAAAGGGCAAATCGTTTTTTGAAGTGCAGGCAACTAGCCTGCTTCACCGTCGTTCAGATCGGGCTGTGCACCCAAAGCAACAGGGGTCTCCGCTAAGCCCGCCAA